GTAAGAATTGTGTGCGTGTGTGTGTATTTATATATATATATATATATATATATATATATATAATTCTGCAATTTCAAACATTGATGGGCGGAATGATAGTACAATCAGTCAAAGAATACACAAAAGTGCTAGGGGAGTTTTAGCAATCACAATTTAATAAGTAAGATTTCCGTGCATACTACTCAATTCCTATGTATTTACATATCTAACACTTAAGATTTTATATATATACCACTTTACCTACGAATGAAAAGGTGTATTTCACAATTTAAAGTTAAAACGGTGCTATTTTTATGTGACATGAAAGATTTGGGTGGTACAAATGTAAAATGTAAAGTTTCGGAGTTAGAAATGTAAATACATAAGAATTGTGGTATGTATGTAAATGCCACATTTAATAATTGATATTATCAAGTGTAAAAATTTGTTCGAAAGAAAGTCAATATACTGAATAATGCACCATAAAATACTAGAAATAATGACTTTGTACCTGAGCATTGTAACTTTGTAGACCCACAACTGGCAAGGTTATAGAATTTATGCAACCATCAACAGTATTTGACGTGTTTTTCCGAACAAAGCGGCCAAAAGAATGATAGGTTAAAAAAGCGGCACGAAAGCTGCCTTCAGGTATCTGATAGATCGGATACCACGCAACAGCATACCTGGAAAGCCATGGAAAAAAAAATTAAAAGTCATATTATTGCCAATTACCTCTAGAATAAATTTAGGAGAAAGTGCTAAATAGTTGCATAACAAACCAAGAGGCCGGGTGGAGTTCATTCAGATTTATACTCGCCAACTTGGAAGGATCCCCGAAAAAGTGGCAATTAGCTGAAGAATCGCCGAGAATAAGCTCTTGAATCCTATTAAATTAAATATTTAGCTCAATGTCAGTATAAAACAAAATAAGGGACATATATTACTAATACAAATGCAAAAAGAGAATTTAGAAGCGTGAATACAGTAACTTTTTAAGCTGGAGGTATAAAGTTAAATATAGATTATCTAGGCAGGCTGTATTGTGCAAGGATCAAGGGATCTCAAATTTCAAATGCTGACAAAATAAAGATAATTAAAAATGCCTTTTTTTTTCTGGTGCTCATGTGATCTTCTGTACGAGGAAGAGGGGAGCATTATTCATTACCCGCAATTTCTAGGAGGTTAGGGGAGGAGGGAGTGCATCTTATTAGGTGTTCTAACAAAATATTTTATATTGGGAAAGTGATAATATCATGGCCTTAGTTACAGATGCATAGTACATTCAAATTTTGATCTTCTCTATCCTTAGAAACATAAAAACACGATGCGATAGAATGATGTATCATGCTTTTCATTGTGTTAAATGTAGGGAGAATTTACATACAAACCAAAAAATTCTTATATATTTATGTATCTAAAACCCAAACTTTAATATTTACATGCATAACACTCAAATCTTTAATATCACATAAAAAATAACACTACCACATACTTTCAAAAATTTAAATTCAGTTTTTCATGCATAGGTTGATCACACCAAAGTGATATTAATGTATATATGAAAGTTTGGGTGCAATAACACTACCACATACTTTCAAAAATTTAAATTCGGTTTTTCATGCATAGGTTGATCACACCAAAATGATATTAATGTATATATGAAAGTTTGTGTGCTAGATATGTAAATATATAATATATATAAGAATTGTGTGGTATGTATGTAAATTTCCCTAAAAGTAGTTCTTCAATCCAGTGAAAATAGTTGCACTTTTCTGTTAATTGGTTTTATCTGTAGTCTAAAATATTGAACTTCCAGACAATCAGACTAAATAATTGTATTTGCAGCCTTAGTTTGTCTAGTTATATATTTTTTGTAATTGTTTCTATATCTTATCAGGTAAAACTTCACTTATGAACCTATTCAACTGTCGTAATCAATTGTTTAAAGCATAATCTTGGACAGCAGGCACAAAAATTGTCATAAAATTCAGGAGCACATTGGAAATAAACCATGCAAAATACCCTCTAATCTAATAACATTTGGACATTAACCTGAATAACCAATTTGTCTTCAATCCAAATACAAATAGCTAAAGAAACTCCAAAATGTTTAAAGCATCCTGACATGCATGAAGGTTATCCTACAATTGAACGCAGAGATTAGATTTCAAATTCTGGACGAAAATGACTTGAATGAAGGTGATATTAAAATAATTAAAAAGGAAGATTTACATACAGACTACTCAATTCCTATGTATCTACATATCTAACACCTAAACTTTAATTTTTACATATATGCCAACTAGTTTATGCATGAAAGGTCCATTTCACCTTTTAAAAGCTAAAAAGGTGGTATTTTTTAAATGATATGAAAGATTTGGGTGCTATAAATGTAAAAAGTAAAGTTTAGGTGTTAGAAGTGTAAATAGTTAGAAATTAGGCAGTATGTATGTAAACGCTTCATAAAAATATATAGTTAGAAAACATGTTCTGCAAGTACTATTTACCAGAATGCATAATTTTGCCCAAACAAGACAAAAAAAAAGTTGATGTTCTGCAAGTACTATTTACCAGAATGCATAATTAAACAAGACAATAAAAAAGTTGAGGCGGAGATTTTGGACGCTCGTGGAATAGAACTTTTCCACTCAATCAAAATTTAAGCTTACAATCTGGTTATTAATTTATCCATACTAATATGTACACTATATCAAAGATAGAAAGATAGTGGAACTTACTTATCAAATAACGGTCTCCGCTGCTGTGGTTGGTCAGAATCAAAATATTCAAACAGCAGTTGTTCCTCAAAGTTTAGTTTATCAAATTCTTCATCTTTCCTTGATGAACACAGTTTTGTTGACCTTTTATCTTCTTTTTTGCATGGCCGTGGCAAAAGCTTTGACAATATTGGTAGCGAAGCCAAACCAGTCGAACATTTCAACCTCTCACAAACATCACAACTTTTCATGACATCTCCTTCAGCATCCTCTTTAGGATAACTGAAAACCTTTCCTGATCGACCAAATAACTGTACGGCAGAAAGATAAGGTACGAAATAAGCACAAAACTTAGAAAGATTGGTACGGGATCTTTTAAGGGAATACGAGTCATCTAACTTTACTTCTAACCCATAACTGCCGGGCTTCTCATACCATTTCCATAGTCGTCTCAGTGACTCATTGGGAACTTGATGGGAACACAACGAATCTCCATTGATTCGACTTTGAGAACACAAACCACAAGTGCTGATGCAGCCTGTTTCAATAAGCGGTGATGCGGAACGAAGTAATCTCTCAAATCCAGCAAGCTGAATGCTCTCAGTTGTAACGAAATATTCATATGATCCATTAACCGCCTCGATTATCTTCATTAAACCAGTCTCAAAACCCAAAAAAAGTTTTCTTTTTGTTTCAAGAGAGAAGTGGGAACCCGAAGGAGACGGGAAATCGCTAGACCCTTCAGATGACGTACAAGGTTGACTATAGAGCTTGTTGATAAGGCTGCCCTCTTCAGGAGACGAGCAATCCGTAGAGGTAGAAGAAGGGCTCAAACATTGTATTTCTCGAGTTGACAAATGGGCCAAACTACGAGAATTTGAACTAAATTCGTCGGTAAAGCTCGAGTTTAGACTACTAGGATATTGATCAGCACGGCTTTGGTCTGGATTTGATTCTATCACTGTAGAATTAGCTTGGATTTTTCGAGACACTGGAGATGTATTTTGTAGAACGCTGCAGATATTATCTGGTGCTGATGTGTTCTGTAAGATTGAGTTCTTTGAATTCTTCGTCGATCTCGACAAAGCATTAGTGCCCAAAGTCAGCTGAGACTGAGAAATACTCTTAAAGTCAACTGCGTTTTCAAAATTTTCATTTCTTAGAGCTTGAATTTTAGAAGGAATATTTATACTGTCTGAAGTGGTTTTAACCATAGAAGATACTATGGACGAATAAGATTGGGGGGAATCCATTTCATTAGAACATCTGAAAGGTTTTCCCCTTCTAACACTTGTTTCCAAGCAATTGAAGGCAATATCGATGTTTCTTGAGGCGGTTTTTTCATTATTTTGAGGACAGGTTAAATCTGAAATGCCCGCCTTTTCTACTTTCTGCCACACAGAATGTTTATTAATTGTTTCGGATCGCCGATGCAAATACACATTATTAAGTTGATGTGCATCATTTGAAAACCCGGAAAATTTTCGAGCCGCCCTTCCTCTCTTCGCTCGAATAACGGGATGGAAATCATCGCTGCTCGAAGCTTGACTGCTCCCTAAAAGTCTTTCTGAACTGCAATCAGTGTCTGCAATATCCTTTTGCCAGTCAGAAGAATTGAAATTCGTCCTATTTTCCAAATTAAATCCCCCATTATTTGAATTGGACCATTCCATTCCACAATCATAAAGAGAATCTTCGGTCATATAGATCTCAGCATTATTCTGAAGAGAAGTGGACGAACTCAACTCACAAGATTGATTTGAGCTTGATGTTAAAATCTCGAAAGACATCTTGTCTCCAACATTGTCACTGAATTCATAAGAAAGAGAAACAGTCTTTCTCAAACCATCCACGCTTTCATCTAATGGTTTTCCCATGAAGCTCGATAATAAGCAGGAACGATCTATACCATTGCATTCTATTTGCTCCAAAGCCTCGTTTGAAGCATCTTGAACAAGCAAGTTCATATTTTCGGATGCGGCAGAACAAACTAGATCACCTCCGGTGGATATTTTGGATTTTGAAGCATCGCAGTTGACTTCTTCACCAGGATTTTCGGGTTTAACGAAGGCCTTTTTATTCGAGGATCTTTTATAATGTTTTCGCTTCTTTTTTCCTTTTTTCCTCGAACTTTGTTTTGCAGGTTTATCCGCTTTACGAGTTGCGTCAGCTGATGCATTCAAAGATATACAATTAGAGCCATAATTAAGCCAAGATGACTCTTCCTGTGCAGCGGTTGGCAGCATTTGAGCAGAACCAACAGTAAACTTAGGATTTTTCTGCAAACCGGGACAGGTTTCTTTCTGCAAATCAAACTGGATGAAAAGTCTTGGTTGTGGAAAAGATGAATTATGATTGTCAAGAATGTCTGCATTAACTGGATTTTGAGAACCCTGTTCATTTCTTAATTCAGGCCCTTGAATGAATGTAGAAAAAGGCACCATCATTTGAGATAAATGAACATCAAGTCGAAGGAATCTGAGAACAGCAGGCCTGCTAAAAAAATTTCAAAACATTCTATATGAAGTTGAAGGAGAAATAACAGGAAATATGTTTTTTTTTTTTTTTTTGCTCCTAATTAAACATCACAACAAACAAAGGATACAAAATAAAATTTAATATTTCAGTTCATATCAGTAGAATAATTTTTTTATTTGGTAAAACTGCTAATGAGATTTCCCAACCCTTCTTTCGAACCAAAGATTTGGGCTGAATAAAGTAAGAGCAGTAAACTCGAAATGAACACTTAACCACTCGTAGGGTTTTTTACTTGTATTGTCCAAATTATAAGCATACCACACAATTCTTATGTACTTATATATCTCACACCTAAACTTTCATATCTACACACAGTACGTGCGTGCGCGTGTTAAAGAAACAAAAAGCATTAAAAAATGTAAGCCGAAAGAGTAATATCTATCCACTAAAGAGTAACAAGCTCAAAATCATTATTAGTTTATTTAAATTTATCACACAAAAAACTAATTAAGGTGTAAGAAGGATACTAGCATCTACAAACTAAAGACTAAGGCACAAAATTAAAATATGAGGTTAAAATAGGTTCTAGAGCATGAGAATATTCGATGAAGGGGAAGGTTGAGGGAACAACTTCTAGCTATTTGGTATATTAAATTTTACTATTAGCATGTATCACACACAAAAATTATATGTTCATAATAATCAACATAACTATCCCGAACAATAGGACCTTTAGAGGATAATTTTTTTTAATTCTGAATGAGCCATGAAACAATAAGCATATCATGACTAAAGAGATTGCAAAACTAAAAATAGGAAGGCAAACCCTCAAATATCACTTCTTGTCAATCCATACTTCTTAGCCAAAGAAGCAAAAACATCCATTCTGATATGAACATGAGACAGATAGTTGAGAGAGTGTAACGGTAGTAGCATCCTATTGTATTGGTTTGACAAGAATTTATCCAAGTGAGTATAGAATAGAATGATTGTTGAAGTGGACATAAAGATGAAGTAGAACAAACCATATTGGGGTAATAAGAAGAATGCTTTAGCATACGTGTATAGATATCCTTCATCTAATATAAACAATGAGAGAAAAGTCTCGAATTATGTAATCACGAAGAAATTTGATAAGCACTTGACAATGAACAAGATATCCAATAGATAAATTACCAGCTAGATTATTCAGATATAAAAGTATAAATAATCATCAAACTTAGGTGGATAAATGCATATTCACCAACCAAAATCAAGAAAAATAGTACTGTCAAATAAGAAACCCCAGTCTCAGAAAAATGAAAGCCTGTTTACCACTAAAGATAGTGGGTGGCTTGTGTCTAGTGGAATTCAAACCATGTTGAAAGAATAGAAGAAATTTGGACGACCATACTGTTGATCCAACAGTTATGCTAATCCATGAAAGTTTGCCAATTTAGGGTTTAGTGCCAATCTAATTGTGCCTTTCCAAAAGAGCATAAATATCAATTTTAACAAGAACTTTGAAAATAGACCGCCTGCAGAGTTTGGTGGTAGTAGCATCTATTTATATTAGTTTTTCAAAAGAGAATTTAGTATAATGTCAATTGGTTAATAAAGTAGATATGAAGACGAGAGAAAAAAATAGGCACATAGAGGTAATAGGAGGACTTTTAAAATATTAAAATAAAAAGACAACTTCAAATATGGACATCAAAAAACTGGCCTAATTTACAAAAAAAAAATCTAGAATAATCTACATCCCAAGATGTATTGATAAGCACACGGCGACTGCTAAGAAGTCGAATTAAAAAATTTTCAAATATAAATCAAACATGAATCTATGAATAATCTCCAAATTAGGG